GTTTTCTAGTTCATGATGTGACCGTGTTTCTTAGGGAAGTTGGAAATGGATTCTTTCTCTTTTTCATCTCAGGATGCTGTGAGCTTTCCTAGGACAAGCACACGTGTGCATGAATTCATATGTTACGTAGTCAAAATTTTGGCTCATGTTTCTTACTGTCTGTACTTAGTAATGTCAGACTGCCTTCACAAGAGATGAGGACAGTTGCCTCACACCATGGATTCTGAGAGTTCTGTGCCCTGTGTGTTTGCTGCTGTTTGGCATTGTTCTGCATTTTATTCTTTACCAGTCTGGTATATATAAAACAGTATCTTATTGTGTTTCTAATGCCGAACATTAATGATGTCTGGCACCTTGATGGCCAAAGACCTGCCTTTTATTGATTTCTTTTAGTGCATGATTTGTATTTCTCCATGGTTTTGTAAATTTTTTTTTTGGACACTAAGCTTGTGTTGACTATCATGTGTTGTGGGTGCCTCCACCCACTAGGTGCTTGTATTTGCTTTTTGCCTCTCACTGAAGCTTGGTAGTGAGTAGTAACCCTTTGTGTGACTGTGGCTGGATGCACCAGGCTTCCCCTTTGTGCTTCATATTTTGGTTCTTGTTTAATGAACTTTTTATTCCCCAGGGTCATAGGCAGATGTCCATACATCTGTAAGTTTCATGCCACTGACTTTATTTTCTAGTGCAGAACTGTACTTACTTAACATTGAAAACTATAACCTCCCCACAAACGGTCTTTGTCTAGAATGTATGTAGTGCATCACAGCTTAAAGCAATGGGCATAGGTCCTAGGCAGTCATTTTTCTACCCAATAAACATGCGTAGAGGACTTAGAAGCAGCAGCTGTGATGTAAGGCTGAACCCAGAGTGGTTTCAGATCACAGGAACCTTTTAGTGAGTTAAGGCCTTGAGATGAGGGGTTCTCCTGGCTTCTCCAGTGGGAACTAAATCCTGTGACAAGTGTTCTGCTGATAGACTCACAAGAGCTCACATGGCCATACAAGCAGGAGTGTAAACATCCTCCTGGCATCTGAAGGAAGGAGAATGGAATTTCCCAGAGTCTCTGAGAACAGGTCTGCTGAGTTGGAGCTCCAGCCTTCCAAAACTAGTAAGAGGGGAAATCTGTAAGCCCTCACTTGGTGGGTCCTTTTCACCAAGCCCAGAAAGCCAGCCTGGGAGCTAGCTGTGTGATGAGACGGTGAATACCCCGATAGACTAAGAGTTGGAACACTGTCAGCACTGGAACAGGATTCTTCAGGGGAGCATGTCACACCTCTCTGACATTCTAAAACAAGACTTCCTTTCCTTTGTAAATGGCCACTGGAGAGTCAGAAGGCCGGTGGCTTCAAAGATGGCTTGTTTGTGTCACTAACAAGTTGCTGCAAGTGTTGGGAACCTTCAGGGTAGGGACATTAAGTGACTGGTATGGCGCATACCCCAATATCACGAGGCAACCTTCCCCTGAGGCCAGTCTGAGTCTGAATATCGTGTCCACACTTGGAAAATATAGAGAAGGGCTGAACAACACAGGTTCCAAAGGATTAAAAAAAAAATAAGAAAAAATAAAATAAAGAACAAACTTGCAGCCCGCGGAGTGCCTTTTCCAAACTCTAGGGCAGATGGTTGAAGTGGTCAACGGTCAGCCATCACAGAACCCGAGTAAGGAGAGGTGGTGGGAGGGTGGTGAGGGAAGAGGGAGATTAAAGTGGGAGAATTGTGGATTTCTATATTCCTGCAGTCAGCGTGGCCTGTATGTAGAGTCAGCTTAAACATGTGTAAGATTGGTTTTTGTAGCCCACAAATATTTAAGTTTGGTGGTTTGTCCTCATTGGGAGTTTAGCTCCCAACCTTGCATGAGATCCTGAACTTGACCCATGTATTCTGAAATTCATGATCTTCTCAGAGAGCAGTGAAAGTTAGAAGAAATTTGGATGTTTCACAAGACTTCTGCTCTCCACATATAGGATCATGTACTCTCATGCATGCATGTACCATCACATAATCATGTACACATCTACAGGTATGCATATATACACCATACACAAATAAATAAACTAGGGCTGTGTTTTTGCTAAGACTACTAAACAAATGATTTGGGACATGCATGTGTTCTTAGCTGTTTGAAGCCCTGTCCAAGCTGGGGTCATATTTGCTTTCTCTTTGTCATGATGTTTAACATGCTCTGGCTTGGACCCAAGTGAGTTGCATTTGATGTCTCTTAGTCTTACCCAACCCCCATAGATGTTTGTCTAAATGACAACACCCAATTTAAAGCCAGTTAACACTGCTGAGAGGGATGGAGAGTGTGTGTGACCATGACAGTTTAGGGCCTGGATGGCAAGATCGGGAACCTTCTGTGAAGGATTATTTCCTCCTTCCGTATTCAATTCTGAAGCCCTTTTGGTTCTCTCTATTGTCTGTCTGTAGCTCTGTGGTAGAAGAGTCAGCCATAAACGTTTACAGAGTGGGAGAATCCCAAAATGTGATGCCTGCCCCCTGTGAGTGCATTGCTAGGCCTCCTCCTAAGAGCCCAGATCTCTCGGTCATGACAGGGGCCAGCCTCTTGACAGCTGGATGGTGTCATCTAGGATGCAGATGATGGGCAGCCACCTGGGATCTGTGTTCAGCAGTCCTGTAGGTTTGATTGTGAGTTTGATGAACAAGGTTACTTTCCAGAGAAGTCTTCCGTGGAGAATCTAGCAAAGGGAACACACATTTCTGTGTTGTTCACTGTTATTCCCAGCTCTGTATGGGGATGTGTTGGACACAGCGGGACCTTTCAGGAAGCAGAGGATGATAGTAGGCAGAGTGTGACAGGTCTTTAGAGGGGCATGTCTGCTCTAAGCCAGGCCCACAAGCAGCCTGTACTGAAAGGGGGGAGCCGTGAATTGAACATTGACAGTGGGCCACTGCAGTCTGAAGGCTCAGGTGGTTGTCAGCCATAAGTTTAGCTCAGCTCTTTGAGTAATTTGTCACGCCTGGCTCAGCCCCTGCTGGGCCAGCACGTGCCAGCTTAGAGTGAGAGGGCCTGTTCGCCAGACGGCCACTCAGGCCTAACGTCCTGCTGTTCCCCGGACCAGTGGCTCGCTGGGGCCATCCACGGAGGGCCGCTCTGCGGTGACAGCCAAGTGCTGTGCAGAATGAGCATGCTCATAATGAGACGTGAATGGCATTAGTGGATCCCTCTAGAATTGGGCCTGAGCAGGCGCCTCTCACCAAGGAAGTTTGGCAGCCTGTTCATTAAGGCAAGTCACCAGGAGTTCAACCCACGGCCCGGGAGCCAGCTCTGGAGCATGCTGCCCAGGCCTGAGGCTGTTTGACCGTCCATAGAAAAAAATCATAAATCTTCAGAGGGGCACTTTTGAAAGCTTCCAATACATTTTCTTTATTTTTTTAAAAAAAAGAGCTGTGTAGAGCAAGCTCAAAGGGGACTTGTGGCACGAAACAGATCCTGATATTACTTTCTACAGTTGTGCACACATCCTGTATCTGCTGGTTGGCTTAGCAACCCCCAGCTCTTGTGATTATTGAATGCTTGGAATATATGGAGTGGAGCAGAGACATGTAGTTGTTCTTTTTGCATTTCAGTTAATGAATATTTCAATTTTGGTAGTCACACATGGCTACCAGGTAATTCAGCACTGTTCCAGAATGACTCTTATCCCTTCACGGTGTGGCACCATTCCCTGAAGATGTAATGCAATGGGGAGAGCAAGCCTACATCCAGAAATCAGTGTCAAGACCTTGCCAAAAGAAAATAGAAGAGTGTCCCTAGTTTTAAAACAAGATGTGTAATTGTTCCCAGCTTAAATTTTCCAAGTGGACAACTTGAAAAGATTCTTTTAAGATACATGGATTGTTACTGATATATACAGATCATGTTTTTTTTCTTTGCAGCCCCAGATAACAAACCAATAGGAATCTGCATTCCCTGGGTTTTGTGGTCATGAAGAAATGGCACAATTTTCAAAATAATCAAAACGCATCCTTTAACTTTTGCATCACTAATGAGGAAGGGGGAAATGAGACATCGTGCCAGCTTCCCCGAGTGTTAATTCCTAAAGTTACATGTGCAGCGCCTCCATTCATTGTCAGATCGTTCTGACGTTTCCTGTTATTGGGAGTGCATGATTCACCTTCAGAGGAAACAGAAGCTCACACAAAGGGGAAGATTTGCTTTCTGCCCTGTGAAAGGCTGCCACACGCAGGGGTCCTATTAAGACAGCTGGAAAGTTGCTTCGGCGTGTTACGCTTGTAAGTTTTATTGGTGACTGGTTTTTGATTACACATTTGAATGTTGTGTGTTCCAGGCTGCAGCTTTAATTAGAAGGCAATGGTTTCTCTCTCTCTCTCTCTCTCTCTCTCTCTCTCTCTCTCTCTCTCTCTCTCTCTTTCTTTGCAGTTGTATTGTACAGCATTTGCTACACCCTCCACATCCATTCTTATTTTCTAATGCTCATCACTTACCCTGGTCAGAGGCTCTGATGCCCTTGCAGAATATGATTCCTAGCCTTCTCTTTCTAATAACGTTCATTTTCTTACTTTTGTTGAACGATGTAGCCAGCTCTTACAGTATCAGTTCCCTGTGTTTTTAGGCTGAGAATTCTCATTGGCCCAGTTGGAGAGTGAAGATGAAGGCTGCCACATCATGCCACCGCAGCGTTGTCGCAATCACCCACCTGTCTTGTTCTTAAGTCAGCCTTAGAAATAATGTAGTGCTTTGAAATAATCCTGTAACTTTTGATGCACGTATTTTTTTTTAATGATATTACTGTTGGATATAGTTGAAGCCCAAAAGAAATTTAGGCCTTAAAACTAGCATCTCACTATTATATTGTGACAAATATCTAACACTCTGGCAGAAAGCTAAAGAGTTTCCAAGATAGGTTTTCACACAGAATGGGGAAGGCCTAGTAACTAACTGCATTTAGAACAAATTGCCCGTCACTCCGCATGCCATTTGCACGTGCGTTTGTCTCCTTAACCAATTACTGCAGCTACGAAGAGCGAGCTCTGTATCTGGAAGCAATAATTCAGAACCACCGGGAAGTCATGACATTTGAGGATTTCGCAGCTCAAGTCTTCTCTCCCTCTCCCAGCTACTCTCTCTGTGGAACGGGTGAGTGTCTACTTTATTCTCCTCCCTCCCGCGTAAGATGCATTTGAGTAGCAGATGTACACCTGTTTTTCACAGATAAATGCTTGCAAATTTAAGAAGAACATTCACCCTCTGAATCAACTAATGAATTTCAAAAGGAATGATGACATTCATTTTAATTTGTTTTGTATCCGAGCTGTTCGCTGTGTTCCTTTCTTCAGCTATCCTGTTAACCCTCGAATCTAGCAAGGTTAATGAACTTTTTTCTCAATAATGTGCTCCGGTTCATTCAGGAGTGTGGGTTTCTTGCTGAGCTGGGAATATGTTGTTTAAAAGCGATGCCCAAATCACTGCGTACTTATCAAAAAAAAGAGTTCTCACAGTTGAAGCCGTTGCTACTAATGCTAAATGGGGATTATGCAGCTGAGATAGGAGGGTCAGGGATTAATGCCGGAGACATGGAAGGACAGTGTCCCCAGGCCCATCATTACAGAGTGCCGCGTGCACGCTGCTCTCTGGAGTGGTTGGTGTCATGCGGACAAGCCACCGACCAGAGCAGCACCTGGTGTGGAGCCTTTAGAAAGTGGCTTATAATGGTTTTCATTTAGTAGGCCAGTGGAACTGCAGAATTTTTCATGGATTTTCTCGTTTTTAGACACGTACTATCTTTATATAATATTGTCAGTTTGAAAAAATATGTACTGCCACTTAAATTGTTGGCATGATTATTAAATTGTTGGTATTTTGGTATGGGACTTTTGTCAAAGAATAAAATTATTACTTGTGCATTTTTGCATGTTGTTACAGATGAATTGCCTGTCAGAGACTAGGTGGGATATTTAGTCTCCACATGTTGAAATTCTCAACAAGGCCTTCTTTCACCCTCCCTGCTTCAGCATAGCTATAAGGACGCTTAATAGATTTCTAGCCCGTGCTAATTGCTTCTGAACACAGCCTTGCTTCTCCTGTGCTGACTTGTTAACAAATATCTTACACACAAAGTGAAAAAAATCAAATTCAGTGAAATAAATCACTTACAAATAAAATCAGCCATGCGTCATTGTTTAACATCGCTGGCTTCAGTCCGTGCCTCTTGGAGCTTTGTTGGGAGATAAGAGAGAGAGGCAGGCACTTGCATGGGGAGCCAGGAGCAGCAGGCAGAAGGCTTGGGAGATAAGCAAGCTGGCCGAGGTGCGGAGCCCCATTTACATAATCACGCCTCTGCTTCCTGGTGAGGCGAGAGAAACACAGGGATGGCCTCTATTGATCTTTGTTGAACTGGGATACTGAGCAACATGAGAAAGGCTTATAACTTAAAGCTTTGATTAATGTTTCTTGCGTTAAAAAAGTAGAACAGCTGTGAATTGAATTCTTTTATACACTCTGCCAGCATTCTATCTAAGACAAAAAAATCTGTTTCAAGGGAAATGAAGATTTCGTACCCCAGTCTGCTAGAGGTTTAAAGTTGTGTGATTTTTTTCATGAAAGAACACAAGGAAGCTGATGCTGCAGTGCTCCGTTCACGCCCTTCTGCAGGCGCTGGGACCGGTTTCCCAGTGCAGGCTTTTGTTTTTGTTTTCAGCTTTAAAGAAAAAAAAATTATTTCTTAAAAATAAAAGAAAATATGAAATAACTAAATATTTAAATTTCTTAACTTTTATTTTTAATGATTATTATTGATGATTATCGATGTTATTGAGATAATGACAGATGTTATTTTCTGTGTATATTTTACCCTCTGTATAAATAAAGTTCACCATGATTCAAACCAGTTCAGATTCAGTTCCTAGTAACAGCTTAAGTGAGACTGTAGAAGCATTTGGGTTTATGTGACCACTTGCGGGAGGGTGGTTAATAGGTTTTTTTGGAGAATGTCTTTTAAAAAAAAAAATACTTAATAAAAATTCTGACAACTCGTCAGGGCAGGTATTAAAACTTTTATACATGGAGCAAGAAACCTAATATGAAAACCAAAATAAATGTGGTTCGTCCTTCTTTCAGATCAATCAACATCAGCCTCACTTTTCCTGGAGTTCACAGCTTCTGTCTGCCCTTCACAGTGATTAGGAAAGAACTAGAAATAAAATCTATCTGAACTACAGTGTGGGGACAGTACAGCGAGGATGGGGTTCATCAGCCCCCATCACAGGTCCCATCTCAGAGCTGTAACTTTGTGGCTTATGTGCAGACTTCACTTCTGCAGAATTCCCACCCCTACTTCTGCTTTCCCAGAGAGGAACATTTTCCACTGATTTACGGTGGTTTTCATTTCTGGGGACAAGCAGTCAAACCCACATGAGCTCAGCCCTGCCAACTTACACTCAGAAACTGAGGTGAAGCCTGCTCCTTCAAGCAACAAACCAACTGGAAAAATTGACCCTGAACTGCTTAAGCTCCCACAGTGCACAGGGCCTAGCCAGACCCTCTCTGGCCATCAGTGTCATCAAAGCAGGGCCTTGGGCTCCTTATAGGCGCACACACAGATTTTCCTAGGCTTTGCTTGTCTCCTTAGCTTTCAGGAAAGCACCTGAAGTGTGGAGTACAGCACATCCAGAAGGCAGCACACCTCTACAGAGAGGGAAATGTGCCAGGTGGGCCTGGCCAGAGACACTACTGATGGGGAATGTCCGTGCCTCCCACACTCCCTAGCCTTGGAACCCTGGAGGTCAGAGCACCCAAATATGTACACCTGTCCATGATGCACTATGAGCTCTGAAGAGGGGCACAGGTCTAATATATGAGTTTTAAAAGGGCTTTTAAAAGAGGACTCATCTCCCAATCAGAAATGCAATTTTAAAGGAGCCCCTTGGTATCTGTTGCATCTCTTGCTTACACTAATAATACTCTGTATGAATGGTATTTGGATGGCTTTTTTTTTTTCCTAACCTGGCCTGTGGTTTGCCTTTTGGTCCCTTCCCTTACTGACAAGCAATAAATAATCTAAAAGATATCCAATATTAACATATATATGTTTTATGCATGCATATTTATATTCTTTTAACCCACACATCTGTGGTAATAGAGGACTAAGTTTGTGTTTTCATGTACTCAAAGAAGGGGGACCAGCAGAGAGGCCTGTAAAGGGTTAACAGGAATGGGCACCCTCGAGTGCTGGGGAGGGACTGATGTAATCACTGCAGCTCACAGCCAAGTGCATCTGTTCACCATGAGGTCATTCTTCTGCATGCTAATGACTTGGAGAATCCAGTCTGATGTTTGACATTATCCAAAGGGATATAGTGTAAATCTTTACCTTTGGGAGCTGCTCTTACTGAACAAAAAGGGGGAAAGAAACTTGTTTGGACTTGCATTGGGGTTTTCTTTTTAGTGTGTTGTTGTTATTGTTTGCATGTGTTTTGCTTTTTTTTTTTTTTTTGGTTGTTGTTTGGGGTGTTTTGTTTTGGGGTTTTGTTTGTTTTGTTTTGTTTCTTGGACCTGCTCTAAAGATTGTGTCTGGACCTTGAAATCTTGGAGGAATCCACTATGTCTGTTGATAAATGGATTCAAAAATAACTATTGTGGTCACAGCTAGCAATTTGTCAATTGACATACAGTAGGTATGTCTCTTGTAATATCTAACTTTCAGAATTGGTACCTTAGTCAGAAGTTGGTAAGAGTATGGTTTTATTTTAAGGAATGTCTAAAACCAAGTTCAAGGAGATTGGTTCTCAGTATCTCTGGATTGACTAGTGTTTGCTTGAGATGCCAACACTGTTTATGGCTCCTGCCCACTTCAATATTGCTGTGGAGGGCCAGCAGAGGGAGCACAGGTCTTTGTTTATTTGTTAGCCTCAAAAACACAGCCCTTGATTTCTCCAAGACCCGGCCAACAGTACTTTCTCCTTTATGACAGGTAGGTTGTAAAGGCTCCAGGATAAAAAGCTAGTGAGAGAAAATGTGTCACCCCGATTTTGATCCACTATCTGCTGCTTGAATGTAGGTCATATTTGGGGCTTAAACCAGATTAGTCTGGGCCAGTCTTAAGATGTTGTCACCATCCAAAGCTGCAGACTTTCCTCTTTCTCAGATGTGTGCCTGGATGGCCTCTTGGGAAGGAATATTGTGCTCACTTTTGTCTTTCTTTTCTGCTGTTCACTACAACTTTAGACATTATACTTAAAGACCCTTACCTGGTGCTATCAGGGCCACCTGATGGCAGCCAATGAACTAAATTCACAAAGCTGCAGACAGCACATCCTGTCGCACCTCAGTCCCAAAGGGAATCTGGCATGTAGATGCTGTGCTAGTTCTGTAGGTCACTGGCTGTGTCCTAAGGGGTGAAGCTCCACCAGCTTCCATGCATGTGTGCTCACTATACCAGCATCTTGTAGGCTTATCTTTCTACATATAGATCCTGGAAGGAATATTCTACTGGGCAGTTAATAAGTTAGCTTCCAGAAACAGACAGGTAAACCACAATCTTGATCTGCCAAGATTTAATGTTGATTGAAAAGGTAATCCCCCTGTATATTCATTCAGTCCGTATTTGTTCTTTTTCTCCTCCTCCTTTCCTCTGTCCCTGTTAGAATGGTCTTAGTAAGGCTTAGATTGATGACACAGCTTGTACTTCTTAGATATTTAATTTTATCATAGCCTAGGGAAACCAGGAAAGAACATCATAGAATGTGGAGGTAGAGGAACCTTCAGAAATATCAGGTCTAGCCTCTCCTTAATAGTTTTGACTACGCTGAAGCATAAATCATGAATGAACAACCAAAGATTGTAGACAAGTTGGAAAACATAACCCTTACCTCCCATTCCACACATAAACATGCCATTCCAGTGTCTACTCTGTGCTGATGGTTCCATAAGTCAAGCGGTAGTGCTTTATTATTGAAATTAAAGCCCAGAATTAAAATTGAGAATTACATATAGAGAACCAGAAATTTTCCTTAAACATACATTCTCTTATGTCATTGTCTACTCAAGAGCTCACAACCAACCCAAGTTATTCCCTCATTCCAATTGGCTGTCCCTGGTCAAAATGTTGTCATGTATTCTTCAGATAGATAACTACCCTC